GAGTTGGGATGCAGGAGGGATGCAGTGGGGCTGTGTCAGGGCCTCCACATAAGCCTTTTGTCTCGGTGTTCCCTGATTTCCATGTAGCCACGTTTATTGAAGGCATGTGCAGGTCGTGCATGGGCTGTACCTGCCTCTGCTGACACAGCTCTGTCTCCACCATGCCCTGAGCCCCTTAAGATGCTGCACCCCTGGGTTTGTCTCAAATATGGATTTGATTCCTCCTCTCCAGCTCTGGCTATGCTGGAAGCGTTCCCAAAAATGAAAGCCAGCTCTTTTCTGAGCTTTGAAGTGTGGAGTAGAACTGAACAGAGAAAAAAAAAAACCCTATCCCATGGGGGATGGGTTTTTAGAAAAAAAAAAAAACCAACCCTATTGAGTCAATGGCATTTGTATTAAAAACAGCGAGTCCTTGGAGTCATTTCCATAGGAATCAGCCCTCCCATTCCGGGCAGGCTCCCTGCAGCAGCATCCAAGGCTGCAGCTGAGTGGGGAGCAGTGTGAGAAGGGGGGGTTCTGGGGTCTGCCCACCCCAGGAAAGGGAAGCAGGGCAGGGCAGGCTGCCTTCTGTTGAATCAGTGATTCACAGCTGTGACTCACAGCCCCATCCTATAGTCATGGAAAACAGCCAGGTCTGGCCATCAGCTGTGTGCCTTTTCCACTGAGAGAAGTTATTTTTGGGTGTTTTTAGATTACAGCCCTTGTATTTTTTTTTTTCTGTGCCTCTGAATTCTGGATGATTGCACTGCAACTAATTGAGGCACTTGAATTTCCTGCTTAGAGAAATGAGCTCAATGCCATTTTTTTGCAACTCTAAGGCATTTCTAAAATAGCTTTTCTGCGTGGCGTCATGGGGAGCAGGCACACAGCTTTGGGGCTCTTTGTGCTGAATTTGGGAGCACTGGGTGCAGGAAGGTTGCAGAAAAGGATGTGGGGGCTGTCAGCTTGAACATGAGTCACCAGTGCACCCTTGCTGTGATGGAGACTGGCTGGGTTTACTGGTAAGGTTGAAGCCAGCAGGTCAGGAGAAGAGATGGTTGCCTTCAATTTGGCACTCACAGGTCCACACCTGGAGCACTGTGCCCAGTTTTGGGCATAGCTTTGGGCTCCCCACTGCAACAAAAACGGGGCCATGTGGGAGCCACCAAACTGATCCGAGCGCTGGAGCCCAAGGCAGGGAGGGAGGGGCTGAGAGAGCTCCTTCAGCTTGGAAGTGTGAGAGCTGGGAGCACTAAATGATCCTTAAGGTCCCTTCCAACCCAAATCATCGTAGGATTCTATGATTCATGGCCCTCTCCAGTGTGATTTTGTGATCCCACAGGACAGTAAGGGGATGTAGGGCTTTGTCTGTCCCCCTCACAGTGGGGTATTGACATAACACAGGGACTGGAGAAGCTCATCACAGAAGTTCACAGCGGGTCTGAAATCTGCCCATCCTCTGGAGGTGACCTGAGCTGGCTGGTGATGCACAGCCACCCCTCCCTGGGGCACACAACTCTAACCCAAGAGCTCAGAACAACCTGAGCAAAATCCACACATTTCTTGGTGCTGCTGCTCCCCCTGTGCTGTGCACTGGAGGGGTTGGGCCGTGTCCCTCAGCCCCTGCCAGGCTGCAGGGACCAACCACCACCCTTCATCCCTGCCTTTCCAACCCGGCCCTGCCCAAGTGTGGTGCTCAGTGGTGCCAGCTCTCCTGTCTGTGCCTGCATACAGCCCTGGGGCCAAGGTTGTTGTGGTGGGGGAGTGAGGACCAGCTGGTGAGGGAGCTTAGTGAGGTCTGGGGTCCTGGTGCAGGTGAATGCCCTGAGTACAGAGTGAGCCTTTCCCTCCGTGCATTCCCACTGTCATAGGGCACAGAGGATGGGTTTGACAGGAGGCAGGAAGAACTTCTGTCCAGGGGAGCCTGTTGCCTGAAGGAGGGGTGGGAGAGGAGAGAAGTCTTTTGGGAGGTGGAAAATGTGATGCCACATCAAAGAGAGAGTTGAACTTGGGCCTCTAATTTCAAAACAGAGTTCAAACCACCGGAATGTTACAGTCACAAAAATCCCAAAATGTATTTGGCACTTCCTTTTGCTTTCTCTTCCCCCATCCCTGGGTGCCACCATCATACTGGGGAAGCTCCCAGAGCCAGGACCAGCACCTAGGAGGCTCAGGGTCGTTTCTGGACAGCTTTCCTGCAGCCCTGAAAAGCCTGGGAACCTCAGCTTCCAGTGGGGGGTGGGGCAGGAGCTGCTGGGGTTAACTTGTGGCTGAATGTGTTGTGGTTTGCCATGGAGTGCAGGTTCCTAAGTCCTTTATTGGATCTCGCCCAGGGCTCTTTCCCAGCCCTGTTTGTGACATTAACGGGTCACTGCAGCCCCAGGGCTGTCCCCACCTTGTCCTCACTGCCTGCATGGCACTGGCAGGACACTGAGGGCAGGGCAGAGGGACCGACAGCCGAGGATTCTCAGCCCCACCGTCACGCAGGCGCTGGAATCAATCAGGGAGGCGGGCACACCTCATTTCTGGCCTCCTTGAAACTGTGCCACCACACACGGCGCTCAGGAGGGATATAAATAGTGCTCAGGACGCCCTGGGATGCGGCAGACAGCAGGTATTTCAGGAGTGATGCTGCTGGCAGGGTCGTGCCGGGGCAGCTTCTGCTACATTAGTGGTTATTTGCATCCTCTGAAGATGGACGGGTGTGAGCACAGCGGCTGGGCATGGATCAGCCAGGGGATACAGGAGGTGTTGTGTGGTCCTGGCACAGGTCCTGCATGTCTTTGGACAAGTTGCTGAAGACCAGATTTTCCACAGAGTGCCTGTGACAGCCCCCCCCCCCATCCTTACAATCGGATATTGTGTTTCAAAGGGGGTTTGAACATATATTATAGAATCCCAGAATGGTTTGGGTTGAAAAGGACCTTAAAGATCATCTCTTCCAACCCCACTGCCAGGGGCAGGGACACCCTCCATCAGCCCAGCTTGCTCTAAGCCCCATCCAACCTGGCCCTGGACACTTCCAGGGATGGGGCAGCCACAGCTTCTCTGGGCAACCTGTGCCAGGGCCTCCCCACCCTCACANCAGTTGGATATTGTGTTTCAAAGGGGGTTTGAACATATATTATAGAATCCCAGAATGGTTTGGGTTGAAAGGGACCTTAAAGATCATCTCTTCCAACCCCACTGCCATGGGCAGGGACACCTTCCACTTGCTCTAAGCCCCGTCCAACCTGGCCCTGGACACTTCCAGGGATGGGGCAGCCACAGCTTCTCTGGGCAACCTGTGCCAGGGCCTCCCCACCCTCACAGGGAACAATTTCACAGGGGCAGGGAAAGTTTGTGTGCATTCAAGGCTTCTCTCCTTGCAGAGAGGGATGCAGCTGGGCATGGAGCTGCCCACGCTGCAAGGTCACTGTGGCAGACACAACCTCCAAGGATGTGGCTGTGGGTCCATCCCAATTCCAAAATGTCCATATTGAGCCTGTTCTGTGTGTGAGGGCTGCAGCAGGCACAGGCAGCAGGGGCACTCGGGCAGTGGGGTGCTCAGCATGGCAGTGAGGAGCCCATCTGCTGCCCAGCACATGGCACTGAGTTGGCACCAACACTGCCCGTGTTGGCATTTGCAACATGTGGGGTGCTGAGCACTCGGGCAGGAGATCCCAGAGCTGGGGGTGTCAGCTTCTGGAGCATGTCTGAGCAGGAATTGGGGGTCTGAGTAGGGTTTTGGGGTCTGAGCAGGGCATTGGGTCTGAGCAGTGCTTCAGGGTCTGGCAGTTCCTGGGCATAGGGCTGGGAACACAGCGGTGGAGGAGGCCACTTCCATGCCCTGTAGCCTGGTGGTTTGAACACTTTCCTGGGAAATGGGCTTTCCAGTGCCCCCCATCTCACTTCAGGAGAGCTCCCAGCTGCAAGAGAACAGCAGCCCTCATTCCAAGGGAGCCAGCACACAGCCAAAGGGGCAAATTTTGGCATCCCAGTGGGTGGCAAGAACTGTAGGTGGTCAGAGCACTGAGCTGGGAGAGGAGGGAGAGGTGCTCTGAGTGATGAGGTCACTTAGGGACAGAGCAGAGGGGGACCCAGGAAGCTGGTGAGATGTTTAGGAAGTGTGGAGGCTCTGGAGGGGCTCTGTGAGCACAGCCCTGACCAGTGAGCAGTGGCTGAGCACAGCTGACACCTGGCAAAGATGAAAGCAGGGCTTGTTAGACTGCACACAGACTGCTGATTGTAACCTCAGTCACAAAACCTCCTTAGCCAAAGCCTGACAGCATCCCCTGAGTTTTCCCAGGCGGATCTGTGATGCTCAGCACCCCCATCAGCCAGTCCCAGGGAAACAAGGCAGGTGCCCACTTCCCTTCTCTCCTCTCCCTGTTGCTCCAGCCTCCCCAGTGCTGTTTGGTGCCAGCTCTGCAGAGCTGGCAGCTGATCTTGGACTCTGTTCAGAGCATCTTCTGTGGTGCTGGGCAGTTGGCTCCATGATGATCCCAAAGCCCACCGTGCCACGAGTTTTCTTACAAAGGAAGCTGCAGAATGGAGCTGTAGCCTGAAAGGTGCATCCACTCACACAGCCTGCAAGAGGAACAGAGGATCTGGTTGTACAAGGGTGCATACACCTCTGGGGATTTAGGACAGCAATTTTTATGATATTACAGTATATTTTTGGGAAGGGATTACATAATGTCCCTTAGCAGGGGTGTCAGAACCAGATGATCTTCTAGTTCACTTCCAACCCAGCCTGTTCTGTGATTCTCTGATTCTGTGTTGCTGGGATTTTGAGGTGAGGAGCTGCTGGCTGTAGCCTCTGAAGTCAGCAGGAGTTAGGTGGGTGTTGCTGGAAGCATCACTGAGTCCCCAAGTGCTTTTTGTGGTTATTCTTCAAAAGCCCAGTGAGGGATGGACACCTCTGAAACGGTCTTGACTCCTGAGTTTTATTTAATAGAAGGGTTTGAAGCATGCAGTGGACAAACCCCCTCCTCCAGACTGAACTGCAGTAACTTGCTGTTTGTTTTCTTTTCCCAAAGCTCCCAGAATGGAGAGGAAGCTGGAGCCTGGCCCAACAACCAGTTTGACACGGAGATGCTCCAAGCCATGATCCTGGCTTCAGCAAACGGTTGGTGTCCATCACGTGGGGGAAAACCACGACACTGCTCTTGCAGGGGCATCTTGGGTTCATGCTGTTAAATAAGATCCTGGTGGGACTGGTTTGTCTGGCTTCAAGAGTCCTTCTTCAACAGATCCCAAAGCTGGTGGGAAAGCACTGCAGAGGAGGGGGTCAGGAAGGATTCAGGCAGATTGCTGTAGACAGGGACACCTCTTCCACTCAAACTTTATTTCCCATGTACTGGGCAGAACGTCACCTGGCTCGTGATGTGGTTGTGTTACATGTGAGAGCCGGTCTTGAGGTGATCTTTTATAAACTACCTGGTTCCAGAAGGTCACACTAAAATGAAACTGCTGTGTTGCAACTTGCTGTGAGGTGAGGAGGTGGAAAGGCTGGATGTTCTGCATGTGGCAGGGCCAGGGAAACAGTAAATGCCTGAGTCAGTATTCCCAACAAACCTTGTGTCCAGAGGAGCTCCCCGGGTTCCTCTGCTGAGCCGTGAACTCACTAAGGTTTTCCCCACTGGCTGCTGCTGCCTCTTTGCAGTTGTAGTCACAGGGGGGTGGTTTGGGGTCATTTTGGGTCGGTTTGTTCTGGTTTATGGCTGTGTGGAAGTGGTGGGCAGGGAGGGTGTTCCCACACACCCACAGTCTCCATGGCTTTGAATAAAACAAGTACAATTATCACTCCGTGCAGCACCACAGATAAAGAGGCTGGTTTTCATACAGCCTTTATTTATAAATACCTCCGAGTCTTTCCCCCCTTGATTTAAAAATAGAAGCAACAGCACAGCCATTAAAACCCCGTGCAAAATGCTTAGGATGTTTCCTTTGAGCTGTTGGGAGGGAAGGAATCTGAGGGATGGCTTTGGAGTTGCTTTCTTGGAAAGCTGCTGCAGCTGAACTTTGCTGCTCCTCAGACACCAGGCAGCCTGGAGACAGCTGCCCTGGCTGGGGAAGGGGACGAAGGTCTGAGGCAAGGGAGTTGTTTACACTCCAGGGAAAGAAACAATGTGAAAATGTGTCTTTGCTCTGAAAAAAAAGACCATGGAAAAACAGCCTTTGGGGGTTGCACGTGGTTATCATCACCCAGGGCCTCCAGATCCGGTTTCCTTGCTGGCAAATAAAGCTGTTTTTTTCTGACTGCTGCTCCAGCAGTCCCCAGGATCAGAGCTGAGAGGGTCCCTTCCAAGTTAAGCACCGACTTCTATGGAGCCCCCGGAGCCCCATTTCAGCAAATCTCCCCCAGTTCATGAGTCTCAAACAGCCCTGACCTCTCCCACGGCTTCAGTCATCCCAGGGGGTTGATGTAAATCAGATCCATCCTCTAGATAATGGCTTTTCCTTATCCATGCTTTTCTTGCCCTTGCTCGTTCCTTTCTGTGCTGGATGGATGGATGGGGACACAGCACAAGTTTTTTCCACTAGCACAGTGTTTTCATGTCAGCCCTGCTCTCTGTCCTCTCTTTCTGCTCTCAGCAGGCTTTGATTAGGGGCAGCACTAATTGCCCATTAAACTTTGTGCTGCCCATCCTTGGCTGATGTTTCCTGGCTATTTAAATGATCCTTATCTCTTACTGAGCTCTCTGTTAGAGCTCCGGCGTGGCAGGTGGGACACAGTGACACACGTGATGCCCTGGATGCATCTGTACCCTGTGCCAGGTGTTATCCTTCACTTCAGCCAGAGGCAGAGCTGGCCCTGCCATAACCAGGCCTGTGTGATCCATCTGCTCCAAGGATTAAATGGTTAAATCACCCTCCCAAGTCAGAGTACCTGGGGAGCTGATTTCCCCACAGGGCTGTGACCTTCCTGTAGGGCTTCTGTCTCCCTTCCTGGGCATCCTTTCTTTGGATTTTCCTCCCTTGCAGCTGGGAATGACATGAAAAGCCAGTGTTTTTAGCAATCTGAATGGGCAGAAGCAGCTGCTAAGACATGCCAAGGAGCACAGATGCTCCAGGACACCAGACACTAAAGGGCAGACATCCTGTCCTTAAAATACTCTGGCTTCCAGTGGGAATTTATAGAGGTGCCATGAGATGGTGGGAGAGCAGACGGAAAGGCAGCCCGAGGAGATCCTTCTCCCCCTCAGGCAGGGCAGACACACTAAATTGGGGTCTCCTGAGAGCCCCACCAGCAGCTGCAGCAGCACGTGCTCCAGGGCTGCCTCTGGGGGATGGAGCCCTGAGCTGATTATTTTTGCTGAAGCCCAAATTCTTGTTTTCCTCCTCAGGACCGTTTGGGACAATGTCTGGCTGCTGGTAAAGGCTGAGCATGACCTTTCCAGCAACAAGAGCTGAAGTGCCTTGCTTGGCAAGAGCACCTCGGTGCCCATTTATAACCCTCTATTGTTCCTGTTCTCTCTTCTTTTCATCCTTAATGTCAGTGTTACCTAGAAACAGCCCTTCTCCCTTACCCGGGACCCACGGGCAGGCTGGGAACTTCACCAGTGGCTTTTTCTGCCTGGTGAAAGCTGTGCTGAGACTGCAAATTAATTCATGAGGACTTGAATGGTGCTGGCAGCCCCCAGCCCCTCCCTGCTCAGAGCCCTGGTCATCTGGGATGGCCCAAGAGGGACACAGGGCAGCAATACCCGGGGAGGAGAAAGTTTCCAAGTCCACCAAGCCTCTAACTGGGCTGTTTCCAGCTGGGACAGTCCAGAAAAAGCAATCTTCCTCATGGCTGGAGTCTGTAGTGCACCTGTGAGATAATCCCTGCACATCTCAGTCCTCTCATCCCATGGGGATCATTTGTAACACCCAATGGGTGTGGGGTTGAGTTGGTTGTTAATGAATTAAGCTCCTGCTTATAGACATGCATCTCCCCAGCCCAAGGTCTTCAAAGGCCTGCTGGGTCTGGAACCCATTTAATGGGGACTCTGGAAAAACCCTCCTGCAGTGAATTCTTCCCCAGGGGAAAGGGAAATGGCATTTCCCCGTGTTTGTGCCCCACGTCCCCCCACCCCAGTGCACAACATTGTGCCTGTTTTTGGCCTCGCTGTGTTTTTCCCTCCTCCTGCTCCAGCAGAGCAGCTGTAACTTTTCAAACTGCAGTTGCTTCATACTTCTGACCCCTGCGAGGGAATGTGTACACAGCCATGTTTCAGGGGGCTGGTGGGATGTGGGCCAGCTTTTTGTCCAGCTTTCTGCTTGGCTTAGTCACCCCCATCTGCTTAGGGGAAAGCAAAAGCAACACAGAGACGTGCACAGAGCTGATCTGGAGTGAGGAGAAACACGAGGGGACCAGCCCACCATCTCTGCTCGTTGTTTTTCGTTATTCCTGCAGTCTCTCTGCCTGTTAAAGGGGGGAGCAGCTTCCCTGGGCTCTGCCTTGGGCTCTTTGGGTGGCCTCGCTGGGTCTCTCCAGCCTCCCAGGAGAGCCTGTCCTTAGCCATGAGCACGAGGCACTTAAAGGCTGAGATGGGAACCTCTGATACAGAGACTGGGTTTTAGCAAATCATTTCTGAGCAGGGCTGTGCAAGGATCCCACCCTGAGCCCTGCACAGGCAGCTGCACCGGAGCAGATCAGGCAGCAGCTCATGGCAACAGCATCGCTTGAGCTTTACCATCCCCCCCTGCTCGTTTCTCCCCCTGCCTCCACGCATCCCCCACCTCCATCTGGTCTCCACCATCCAGCAGAGCCCCGGCATCCCGGGGGGGCCCTGAGCCCCTCCCCGCTCCTGCTTTCTCTCTCTCCGTGCTGGAGCTTTGCATAGCGACAGGAACGAACCTGCCTTCCCCTCCCCCTGCCCCCAGACCTGGACCATCAGCCGCTCTCTGGCGTGGATCTCCTTCGTGCTCGGCTTCCTAGAGCCATTTGGCGGTATTGCAGGGGAGAGATTGTCTTTCTCCTCTCCCGCGCCCTGCTCCCTGAATAAACCTGGCTGGAGAAACACCGGGGGCAGGGCTTTAAACGCGGTGGAAAAATAAATAAATATCGGATTTCCCTTAATGCATTACTGCCGATTGTGGCTGCACAGTATGTCTGGGCACTTTGGGGGGGCGGGAGGGTGTCTGTGCCGCACTCCCCGGCACGCACGGTGCGATGGTTGGCGGGACCCAGGTGTGGGTTTGGCAGTTTGATGCCCCGGGGGGGGGGCTGCCGGGGCTCGGGGTGGGCTCCGGCCGGCTTTAACAACGTGCCCTTGTCTTTGCCCCCTCCCTCTGGCGTTCCCCACAGAAGCTGCTGATGGCAACTCGACCCTGGGCGGCGGGAACGGCACGATGGGGCTGAGCGCCCGCTACGGCCCCCAGTTCACCCTGCAGCACGTCCCCGACTACCGGCAGAACGTTTACATCCCGGGCAGCAACGCCACCCTCACCAACGCCGCCGGCAAGCGCGACGCCAAGAACGCCGCCCCCGCCGCGGGCAACAAGAAGAAATCCGGGAAGAAGGAGAAGAAGTAGAGAAGAAGAAGAAGAAGGAGACCTTAGAGCTACAGGGCAGCCGGCTCCAGCACTCCCCCCAAAAAAAAAAAAAACCCACAGCCCAGGCCGGAGGACGAATGTGAATTTTTTATTTTTTTTTTGGTTTTTATTTTGTGATGCAAAAGTAGGAAATGCTGCGAATGTATCTCGTCATCATCAGGTCTGGGAGCAGGGACTCGCTGCTCTTAGACCTCGTGATGGAAACCAATCTGGAAGCTCAACCGAACACAAACAAGTGCCCTGTGAATAATGTTTTATACGATCCCTCGGGTATTAGGATATGCAAGGGCGGAAGGTCTTTTGCCACGTCTTTGGATCCGATTTGCTCCCAGGTAGTCCGAGGCTTTGTGCTCGGCTTTGCCCAATGTAAATAATTTTAACGTGGATCTTTTGATTTATGTAGCCCTTCAATCATTTTTTGTTTGGAATGGAAAAGGAAGTTCTTAGCTTAGAGCCCACGCTCCAGTTCTTCGCTCTTAAATTTTCCATTCATAAAATTCACCCCCCCCGCCCTGCCCCAGATAATGATAGTGATGGATTTTGGAATTTGGAAGTTGGTAGGGAGTGCTTCAGTTCCTGCTTACCTGTCACCCAGAAAAAAAAAAAAAACAACAAGTGTTTATATTGCATGAATCAAAGGGAATATGGCAAAGCTGCATCCTAAACATTTTTTTTCGTTTGTTTGGTTTTTTTTTTTAAAGTGTAACCACTAATGGCCTGAAATATGAGAAAGTAAAAAGCCCTCCCGCTGTGTGAGAGGCAGGGAATTGGATAGGGAGCGTTGCCGAGGTGTGCGGCAGCTGCCCCGGCGGTTCTAGGGGTCTCCGAAGAGCAGACACATCTCAAACCTTCTTTGCAGTAAATATTTATATGTACAGTCGATGTTCTTATGGAATTAAGGCTAAGAGAGCCTCGCTCCCCCGCGGCCAGGCGGGTGCCCGGCCGGGTCCCCCGCCCGAGGGGACACCCGGGGACGACGCTTCACGTCTGTGCACAGTGTCTGCATGCACGTCCCTCACCTCACACCTGCACTAGCGCAGTAGCTCCACACGGACCCGGAGAAGTCCTCGCATGCCCACACGCAGCGTGGTGTGAACGCGCCGGCAGCCGCCCGAGCCCCCGCGCCGGGGCTGCCTCGGGGGGAAGGGGTGGGAGGGGCTGGGGTGGGTCAGGCGGGGTGGGGAAACTCCTTGCTTCTTATTTGGGCCCCAAAAGGTAATTTTGGGGGGATAAGGCGGTTTTTTATAAGGCGGTTGTTTCGGGGGGTCTCGCCCGAAGGGGCGGGATCTGCAGAGCTGCCCGTGCATGGCTTTGGTGCAGAGTTGGTGATTGAGTAAGTGATGGTTGTTTTGGTGGCGTTTGGGGACCAGATTCAGAGAAGGGACCCAAAAGCAGGGGGTGATGCTGCAAAACTGGGGGCAATAACTGAGGGAATGTCAAATGGGACCGTGTAGGGCCAACCTGGAAGAAGTGATGCTCCCGCTGGCTTTGGGCTTTCCACCCCACGGAGAGAATCAAAGGATGAGGAATAGAGTTTCTCCACATGCCCATCATCCTTGCACCAGGCCAGCTTCCCATAGCAAAGCAGCTCTGAGCCCTCCAGGGAGGCAGAGGGGGGCTTTGTGTAGCCAGAGTGAGGAGGGGCTGTGGGGTGGCCAGGAAGGGGCCGCACCGAGTTTCCCAGGGGGTGTGTGTTGTTTTTTTCCTTTTTTAATCACTAACACGTAACTCACCCGAGCAGATCCAGCCCTCTCAGCCAGGCTCACCCTACCCCAGCCCCCTCCCCAAACCCAGGGCAGCAGGAGCATCCTCCGTGTCTCATCCGGATCCAGCCACCTCCAGCTCTGGCTGCACTGGGAACGGTTCCCACCCTGTCCCCTGCAGCTGCCACCTGCCCCCCCTTCCCTCTAGAAATGCTGTAGCTGAATCGTAGTCTTTATATTTTCTTTTTAATCTGCAATCTGAGGTAGCGTAGTGAGTGTCGTGTATTTAGTGGCGTGTTATTTTTAATTGCAGTAACTAACTTGTGGACATCAGTATTTTCAATTTTCTCTGTATCTTCTTTCCATGTGGTCTGTGCTCCGAGTGTACGTGAAATGAAAACACGTTTGCCCTTTCAATGTGTCTAATATTGAATTATACTTATATATTATATATATGCTTATATCCTTCTTATACCCATATAGACCAATGTCGATGTGTTACACGCAAGTTTTATACTCTAATATTTATATTGCTTTTTTTCTTTGGGAAAAAAAAATAATAAAATGGTTTCTTCTGAATAAGTGGTGTTTATTCCAGTGGGAGGAGGGAGGCAGGGATGGGGCCTGTCCATCCCATTTCTGCTGCTTCTGGTTGGGGTGGGAGGGATCAACCCCAGCCTGGCTCCAAAAGTGGGGATGGTCTTGGAGCACCCCAAATTTTATGTCCCTTAGGGCTGCTTTTGGGGCACCCCCATCCTCTGGTCCTCCAGGCCTTTGAGTGGTGGGTGACATGGCTGTGGGTCATGACTGAGGAGATGGTGGTGTCCACAGCTACAGCCCCTTCCCCACACCCAAGGGGATCCAATTGCCCCTCTCCATCACTGGCAGGGATCTGGTCACTGTTCCCCAGCCCCAAGGGGGTACAGAGGCCCCTCTCCATCACTGGCAGGGATTTGATCACTGTTCCCCAGTCCTGGGGGGATCTGATCATGCCTCTCCAGACCCAGTGGGGATCCATCCCATCACCTTCCCCATCACCAGCAGAGATCCACTCTCCCTTCCCCAAGCCCGGGATGATTCCCTGTTCGTGGAGCCCGGGCTCCCCTCTCTGTGCTTGAGGAGGGTGGATGGGAGGAGGGGTCAGGAGTTGTGACCAGAGCTCCCCGGCCAAGGAGATCCCCCCACCCTCTCCCTGTGGGGGGTCCAACACACGCTGAAGAAAAACATCCCGTGGCTCAGGGTGTCGTAACTGTGGAGGGAAAAATAAGCTGCTGCTGGCCAGATGTGAGGGGGAGGGTGGAGGAGGCGGGGGCAGAGCAGCCCCGAGAGACAGACAGACTGAGCCGGGGATGGGGGCGGGAGGCGGCTGGGGCTGGTCCCTGCTGTCAGCAGAGCACAGGAGGCTCCAGCTGAGCAGAGAACAGCTCCCCCTTCCTGTACTCCCATCCCTCCCTACCCATGTCTCCATCCAGGTGCAGCTCTGTGGCCTCCACCCGCTGCCCCCCAGCAGTCCCCGAGTCTGCCCTCACATACAGAGAGCGTCCCCCGAGCCTCCCTTGCTGACTGACAGACATTCCCCAAATCCCCCTGCACCCCACAGAGACCCCACTCCCCCCATCCTACTGCACTTCCACGGAGACCCCCGGAAATCCCCGTGCACCTCTCAGATGGACACCCCCCTCCCCAGATTCCCTTGTAGCCTTCAGCCCTCCTCTCCTCCCCGTGCACATGGGGACAGTCCTGGTCACACACACGTGTGCACCCCCGTGGGAGGGGGTTCCAACCAGAGCATCCTCCTTTGGGGCAGGCAGTTCCAGACCACAGGGGAGGCCACAGGGTCAGGGTGGTGACAGGTGGGGACCCACCTGGTGCTGTGGGGCCCCTGTGACATCGTGCCCTCTGCCCCCAGCCCAGGAGCTGCTGTCCCTTCCACACAGGATCACCTGGAGCACAGTAGGGGCAGCTCAAGGAGGGTGATGGTGGGGATCAATCACAGCGACCCACAGCTGATGGGGAGCAGGGCTGAGCACTTCCAGGTGCCACCTGCGGGCTGTCCCCACTACCTGCCCATCCCAGGGCACTGGGCATCGCTGCCCTCTTTGCTGGTGATGCCACTGGGCACCTAGAGCCTGGTGGTGGGGGCTGTGGGTAGGGGAGGAGAGGATGGTCACCACTGGTGGGGAACAGAGGCTTTGCAGAGCTGTGGTTTGAGGAGTCGCAGCCTCCCCGGTGCCCTGAGCCCCACGGTGTCCCCGTGTCCCCAGCTGCGGGTGTCGGTGGAAGGATGTGTGCAGAGGAGGCACGCTGAGTTTCGTTTCCTTTCTCTCTCGCACTAAAATCACCCCAGGGCAGTGCGAGAGCCGGGAAGGGAAAGGCACAGCCACAGACCTGGCCAATTAGCGCTGATGAAGGAAACCCGGTCAGCCGTGCTAATTAACGGGGACACGCGGCAGCAGGAACACGCTCGTTCCAGCCCAGCGAGCAGAGGGAGGAGTTGCCGAGCTGAGGTGCTGAGACAAGGGAGGCCGGCAGAAACACAGCCCCGATCATAGCCCTGATGAAAAGGCTGCAAATAGGGTGGCAAAACGGAGCCCCCGGCAGCTGCTGGGGCTGAGACACCATCAGGGGATTAGAGGCATCGCCCCCGGGCCTTGGAAAGGAGGGGACGGTCATGGATGCGGGATGGGAATGAGTGGGAAGTGTGTGGGGGGTCTTTCACCTCCAGCCATTGGAAGGACTGAGGGACTCTCTTAACTGCTGTGGGGCCATGGGTTACAGCCCCTGGTGTGGGGTGTGAGGGGCTGTATCCCCCCCAAACCAGGTGTGCCTGGTGTGGGGGTGTGTGTGTGTGTTCACCAGCAAACTCTGAGGTGACCCAGTCACCAAGCAGAGGGGGACCTTGTATCTGGGCCAGGGTATCCATCCTAGAATACTCTGAACATGCCTCAACAGCCAGAAGGGGCTCGTGTCCTCCATCCCATTGCCCTCCTGCTTCTCCTCCTCCTTCATCTCCTTCTTTCCCCCACTCTGGGATCAGCTCAGCACCTTTTCTCCCCCTCCCTGCTGTCCCTTGTCACCCTCCCAGGTGACAACCATGGCATGGGACCAAGGGAACCCCAGGCTGCTCCACAGGCAGCAGAGCTGGAAGCTCTTGCTGGTCCAGGAACAGGTCCCACAGTGGTGGAGACGCCCCTTGTCCTTTCACTGGGGATTGTCCCCAGCTCACCTCCTGCTCCTGGCAGGGCTGGAGCATCCAGATGCCAAAAGCAGTGATGGCCCCGTGTCACCAGCTTGTAGGGCCCTTGTTCACAGCAGTCACTTTTTGGGACCAATTGACCTTGAAAATCAAACCAAAACAACAACAGAAAAAAAAAA